CCCATCCCCATACACACCCCTCTCCCTCCCCTCCCCCCTCCCTCCCCATACATACCCCTCTCCCTCCCCCCCACACACCCTCCCTCCCGCCACTCCCCATCCCCATACACACCCCTCTCTACCTACCTACAACCACATGCTGATAAACTGCACACACACACACACACACACACACACACACACACTCTGAGCCCAGATGTTTGAAAATCACGAGTCAGGCCCCACAAATCGAGAGGTTTCGTAAATCCACATCACAAGGAATGTTGGGGGCTTTCCCTCCCCCCCCCCGGGCTCCAAGACGTCAGGGTCACACACCTTTTCCCCTCTGGTGTCATCACCTGGCCCCAGGAACAGGGGCTTTCAATTAGACACGGGAGAGCTGGTGATGCTGCGCTGTTGAGTTTCTCCTCTCCCCTGGGAAGCATCGTCCCGTCTGCCGACTGAGGCAGACAGGTGAAGTGACTGGCCTAAGGTCACTCACAGGGTGTCAGTGGCGGAGGCAGGAATTGAACCCAGATCTCCTGACAGGACCTTGCATTGCTTCTGGGGCAGTGCTGCGGGGCTGCTCTCGCCTGGCCGGCCCAGCTGGGTGCCCCCCATGGCCCGTAATGGGGTTCGCTCACCTTGGAGCGTCCCCTTGTGGCTGCACCTAGGGATTATCTCTGCCCAGCCTGGCGCTCCCTCGTGCCACGGCCCCTCTCGCTCTCTGGGAGTCGCTGTCTCACCGGACCAGCTGCCCAGGAGCCATTCCAGGCCATCTTCCGGTGGCGGGTAGGGGAACCCGGGCCCACCCGCTACTCCGGGTTCCAGCAGCCAAGGTCTGCACCGTCCCAACCCTGGGCCTCTTCCTACTCCGCCCTCCGCAGGCTTCCCCCTCTGCCAGCCCTCTGGGTAACCCCTTCCCACAGGGCCAGGATCCCTGGGCTTCTGCTCCTCCCGGGTTTCCTCCTCTCCTCGCTGGGCCCAGGCCGGGACTGCGGACCTCCACGGGGCAGCCCTTGTGCTCTCGCTGCCTGGCTTTCTGCCAGCCCCTGCCTCTGGGCTGCACCTTCAATCAGTGCCTCTCCGTCTCGCCTGGGGCTCCCCCGGTGCAGTCTAATGGGTTATTTCGCCCCTCCTGAGCCACCGTAAAGTACCCCTTTGGGGTGGGGGTGGGGGCGGGGTGAGCAGGAAATTATCCCCCCCCCCACTACGTAATCCTGCAGCCTGCACCCGCAGCCGCCAGAGACCTCCCGCGGCCTCCAGCAGCTCGGCGCTCTCGGGCAGAGGAGCCTGCGTGGCCGTTCTGCACTGCGGCAGAGCTCTCCAGGCCTGATAGCCCTTGCCCCGGCTGCCTAGGGTAAGGGCTGCCCAGCGGCTCCGAACTGACACCAGCTTGGCATGAAGATTACGACACACTAGGCAAAGCAGGTGTAACGCTGCTGCCTTCGGTGGGATCCAACGGAGAGTGTCAATTCAGAACAATTTGCTCAGAGCAGGGCAGTTACAGCCCCAGGCTGGGGTCCTTTGCACACCCAGGCACCAAACCACAGAGGACTTCGCTCTCACCCCACTGGCTAACCACACGTCACACCAGCAATTCCCTCAGACACTCCAGTTTCCCCATATCACCACCAGTGTCACTCATTATGGGGACAAATGGTTATGAAAACCAATACCCCAGTCAAAGAAAAAAGGTTCTCCCGATCCCAAAGGACCAAGCCGCAGACCAGGTCAATATACAAATCAGATCTTACCCACCAATCACGCTGTTGCCAATCCTATAGAATCTAAAATCTAAAGGTTTATTCATAAAAGGAAAAAGATCTGGATGAGAGCTAGAATTGGTTACATGGAATCAATGACACACAGAAATGGCAAAGTTCTCGGTTCAGGCTTGTAGCAGTGATAGAATAAACTGCAGGTTCAAATCAAGTCTCTGGAACATCCCCAGCTGGGATGGGTCATTCAGTCCTTTGTTCAGAGCTTCAGTTTGTACCAAGGTCCCTCCAGAGGTCAGAAGCAGGATTGAAGACAAGATGGGGCGGGGGGTTTCCAGGGCCTTTTATATTCTCTGCCAGGTGGAAGGACCCCTCGGTTCTTACTGTGGAAAATCACAGCCGCAAGATGGAGTCTGGAGTCACATGGGCAAGTCACATGTCCGTGCATGACTCAGTTTGCAGGCTGACGCCATTGTTTCCATGTTAGTTTGAATGTTCCCAGGAGAGCTCAGATGTGGATTGGAGTCTCTCAAAGTCCACTGTCAGTTAAGTGTTTCTTGATTGGGCACTTCCTGAGAATAGGTTTCAGAGTAGCAGCCCTGTTAGTCTGTATCCGCAAAAAGTACTCCTGTTCTTCTTTTTCCTGAGAATAGTCTTTTCTCAAGAAGCCGACCAAATGCTTCACTGAGGCTACTTAGAATCAAACAAGTACAGAGCCAACATTCCTAACTTCAACTGCACAAATGACACACACACACAGACAGCATCATCCTAACCAGCAAACCAGAACCTCTGTATAGATGCCTCACACGACAGCCTTGGTACAATATTTGCTGCAAATATATAACATTGGTTGCAGTTTATGTCAATAATGTCACAGCAGGTCATTAGGGTCATTATTATTTGTATTATGGTAGTGCCACAACTGAGACCAGGACCCCGTCGCGCCGGGCGCTGCCCAGACCCCGGCTGAGATCAGAGCCCTGTCGCGCCGGGCGCTGCCCAGACCCCAGCTGAGATCAGAGCCCCGTCGCGCTGGGCACTGCCCTGACACAGAGTAAGAGACAGTCATAGAATCACAGACTATCAGGGTTGGAAGGGACCTCAGGAGGTATCTAGTCCAACCCCTGCTCAAAGCAGGACCAATCCCCAGACAGATTTTTGCCCCAGATGCCTCAAGGATTGAACTCACAACGCTGGGTTTAGGAGGCCAATGCTCAAACCACTGAGCTAACCCCCCCCAGCAGTCCCTGCGCTGAAGAGCTCCCAGGCACAGCGTGGGGAAAGAAGCTGCCCCCGGCCAGGGGCAGAGCTGGGAAGAGCTCCCAGCTCCCCTGAGTCTCACTCCCACGCCCTCCCCCCTGTGCCAGCCTCAGTCCCGCCGGAGCCTGCAGCTCCGTGCTGCTCCCTTTGCCCGGAGGCCAAGCTGCACCTGGGTGACTCCGCAGCACCCCGTGCCCTTCCGGAGCGGGTCAGCCCTGGCTCCGCTGCCGCGTCAGCCGGGTGTTGTGGGGAAATTCTCATGTGCTCAGAGTTATTTTGGGGCTGGTTTGTGGTTAACTGTCTCTGATGTGAGCGTCACATGGGAGGCTGCGCTCTCTCCCCCGCCCCGCCCTGGCACAGCAGAGGCTGGTGTGAGGTTTTATCAATGGCAGGGCTGGGGCAGGGTGGGGAGCTGTATGAACCGGGAGGCAGGAAAGTCCGGGTGGGAGGGGAAAGCCGGGGGCTTCTGCTTTGGCCAACACCGAGAGAGAGACGAGAGCCTGTGAAATGACACTTCCCCTTTGCCTTTGCTGCACGGTCCCGGGGGGGACTCGGCCCTTCCCCGACTTCCAGTGAGAAACCGGCGACTCCCAGCCCCTCGGGGGAGCGCCGGCGGGAATTCACCGGGACAAGAGCTCCGGCGGCGGAAGGGCATCACGCAGCCAGGAGAAACCTGGTCACTGTGCAGACGGTCTTACGCGGGGTGAAAGTGAGTCCAGTGACTTACCGCTACGCTGGCACCGGCTCTGGCCCCCAGAAGGGGCGGGGCCTAGGGCGGAGGGGGTGTGGCTGAGGGACTCAGAGCCAGCCCCAGCCCACCCTGTAACGTAAGTGCCCCCCCAGGGCGGTTGGTTCCCGCTCAGCTAGGAGACGAACTTGCAATGCAGCCTTGTCTAGGGCCGGCGAAGCCTTCACAGCCGCACCTCTGCTGCCCACCCCAGTCACTGAGACCGTCCCTGGCGGGGGTAGACCCCTGGGCCTCATGAACACCTGAGCATCCCCGTCAGCAGCACGGGGTCTATGACACACAAGTGAAGGGCTCTGATCCCCTCCAGCAGAGGGCAGCGGGGTGCAGCCACACCAGCCAGGCTGCCTTTTGAGCATCTACCCTGGGCCCAGCCCTGCTGGTGCTGGCGCGGGGCACAAGGGACAGCTCTGTGGGATCAGCCACCAGGAGAGCTCTGAGAAGGGAAAACCGACCCACCCACTCCTGGAGCCCCGCTCCCCGGCACAGACCCTGGGCACGGCGGGCGGCCAGCCCCGAGGAGATGTCGTCCCTTCAGACACTTGGATGAGACTCGGTTTGTGCTGACACGAGCCCCTGAGACATTCCCTGCT